GATATAAGGAGAAATACCAGGCTTTATTATTATAGAAATCCAATCACCATATCAGAAAGAGGTAAGTTGTTAATCTATGCAAAATAAATCATAAGAGAGTAAAAAAAGTCTTTGACTGGACATTGTACATTGAGTTGTGAGAGAAGGTGGCCTAGTAGATATCACTTAGGAAATTTGAAGACTAAAATATGTACTCCAGTGAACGTAGACGCCTCTCTTTTGAATTTATCTGAATTAATTTATAACTTTATAAAGAATTAATTAAATGAACACTTAATTTCAGACACTCATAGCAACTGAGGATAAACTCTTGAAAAGCATAAATATTGTATCTTTTTCATAAAGCTAATGTTTTCGTTGGAACATGTAAAAAATTTAAGAATATATAATTTCTGATAGTGAAAATGTTTTAAATAAACTAAAGCAGGCAATGTAACAGATAGACAGAGTTGGGAGGAAGATGAGTTTTGCTGAGTGCTCAGGGAAGACTGTGAGGAGACCTCTGAGTAGATACTGCATGAAGCAAGGCCCCTGAGCACCTTAGAGAAGAGTGCTCCAGGGTCACACAGAATCCCTGAACAAAGAATGCACTTAGAGTATCTGAGGAGCAGCGTGAAGTTTCATGTGCCTACAGTGGAGAGGACAGAATGAGTCCTAGGTGATGTCTATGTAAACAACATCAAAGAACGAGTGGGCCATCTTAAGGGGTTTTGATTGAATAATTCAGAAAATATAGGGGGAAAAATGAAGGGAAAGGAATGAATAGATGACCAGAGACCAAATCAACAACAACAAAAAACATATCAAAGAACTTTTTAAGTGGAAAATTAAATATTCTATTAGAACTAGAGACAATGGGGGCATGTATAGATGGGGGTTAGGGTGTGGGAGAGAGAAAGTGAGAGAGAGAAAACCAAGGATTGGAAGATGAGGACAAATATCCAACTGTTTCACAGGAGCTTAGTGATTTGATTTGGAAATGAAAAATCAAAAATATCCTATCCATGTTGATAGAGGAATTGAAAGCAAAAGAGCAGTAACAAACTCTTGCCTTTTTGTTTCAGTATAAGTAGAAAGAGATTGAGGACAATTCTCCAGAGTTTATTAACTGAACTCTATCAAGGTCCCCAAGGTACTCTGCTGCCCATCTCAGGGGAAGCAAGGCTACAAGAAAAACATAAATACCCTCTATTCAGCATGTTATGTGGTGTTCCCCAAGAATACGCTGAGGGTTGTTTCTTAGCAATTTGGAGATCAAGGTAAGGTATGTCATGATTAGACTGTGAGAAATAGCAAAAGGAATGGAGAAAGCTTCAGCTAAGCTACTAGGGAGAGAAGAGGAAAGGTGGAGGTATAAAAATAAGATGAATAGGGAATGAAAATCCACACTCACACTTATACCTATGCGCCTACCCATACTTTTATGTATGACCATGTAAAGTCTACTAAAGAGAGAAACCTCATGAGGAAGGACTTGGACCAATATATATCGCATCAATTTAACTATTGTTTCTGATTCTGTAAACATATGCACACAGAGAATAAACAAGAGCCAAGGACTAGATTTCTTTTCCCGGTACCTCCACATGCCCTCTCTCCTTCTTCTCTCTCTACCCCCTTCCTCTACTCTATTAGTTTCCTTTCTATTTTCATGAGAACCTTCTCCCCTATTTTTTTCTCTCTCTCTTCTTACTTTCTGCATATGAAAGAAAACATTTGACCCTTGACTTTCTAAGTCTGGCTTGTTTAACTTAACATAATGTCCAGTTCCATCCACTTCCCAGCTAAATTCATAATTTTATTCTTCTTTATGGTTGAATAAACTCCATTGTGTGTATATATCACATTTTCTTTTTCTATTCACCTGCTGGCAGTCATCTAAGCTGTGTGAATATACTGCAATGAATCACATGCATAATATCTATTATTATAATGCACTAAGTGAGATAACAACAGAAGGGAGACTAGTGAAGCAGAGCAAACAGATTTGGGAAGGGAAGACGGGAGGGAAAGGAAAGGTACTGGTGAATGAGATTGGTCAAATTATATGCATGCGTCAATATGGAAAAATAAATCCCACTATTATGTGAAATTACAATGCACCAATAAAATGAAGAGTCAAGGGCTGTTCCAAGAACTGTACTAGGTATAAAAAAGATGATCCAAAACATGTTTTTAAAGCAATGAAAACAAATATTTAGCCCTGAGGAATAGACTGTTGTGAAATAGGACCCAGGGCTAGACAATAAGCATCTAAGAAAGAGGGAGAATTTGTCTGATTGCAGGATGGCCATGAGTCTGCAAGATAAGTGAAGGTGAGAGAGAAGGTGGCATTAGCTCTTCTCTTTATGCTATCAGTTCTAGGACATGTGGATGTCTATGTGGATGTCTGGAAACCAGGGGAAATTAGTGGCCTGAGAAGGAGATACATTCACAAAATGGTGATAGACAACTGGATAGAATCCCACATGGAACTCTAGAGTGAGTGAGTGAATCAGATAATAGGAATGGGCCATGTTATATTTGAACCTAGGACAGATCAGAGAATATACGAATATATGTTGAAATAATAGATCAGTTATTCTACTCCTGGGTATTTCTCATAAAGAATTAAAGTTGTCCATACTACAGTGATACATACATACCCATGTTTATAGCAGCATACTTCATAATAGCCAAACTATGGAATCAGCCATCATTAAATGATTGGATAAAGAAGATATGATATACATGCACAATGGACATAAAATGAATTTTTTTCATTTGCAGGAAAATGAGTGGAACTTGAGAGCATTATGTTAAACAAAATAAGTCAGACTCAGAAGGTCAAGCGTCATATATTTTCTCTCATGTGGAAGATAGAGAAGAAAATAGAAAAGAAAGGTGGTGGAGGATCTCAGAAAAATCCGAGGAAGATCTGTATAGTAGAGGAAAAGGAGCTGGGGGAGAGAGGAGGAGGTGGAAAGGGAAAATACGGGGGGATAAATTGGTCAAATTACATTGTTATATTGTGTGCATGTATGAATAGGTAATGACAAATTCCACCATTATGTACAACTATAATACTCCAACAAAACAGAGGAAAAAATCAGTGTACATTTATAGGACGGTTAAATGATCATTGCTTTGATAAATGTTTATAAACTTGGAAAGGATGTTGTTCCAGAGAAAATGGAAGGACCAATTTTTAAACTCTCCTGAAAATCCTCAGAGATAAGTAGGACAAGTTTTCATGGGATTTACTCATATTTCATTTTCTCAGTTTCAGCTCTAGGGAGCCCTTGAGAGTGACCAAGACACCAGTGAGTTGATTCTGGTCATCAGTCTATGAATTCTTTGGATAAGGTCATTGGGAGGCTGAAAGATTCCTTTTTATGTCCTGAAGGGACACTGTACTTTTTTGCCCACTTTGTCCCACCTCTAAACTTAACAACCTCTGTGCATTTTTCTACTGTATATCTTTCAGCATATTTTTAAAAATTTATACTACTACACAGTGGTGCTCCTTGAGGGTATATGACCAGTTTTATTCAAATTGCTGGATCAATGCTGATACTCAGCTTCTGACATATTTGATGGAATAAATTATGAAAGATACTTCTCCATCCCCTACCTTGTGCACTCTTAACTAATGAAAACAGAAGAATTATAATCTTATCTCTTGTAGTTTCACATTATAAAATTGAGGACTCATCTTCTCCCTCCTTAGCACTAGTAAGCCCAAGTCCCTCCACACCACCCTGCTCTCTCTCTCTCTCTCTCTCTCTCATACACACCCACACTCACACCCATATACACACACTCTCTCTCTCTTCCTAACAGAATTTCCAAAATTTTTAGATTATGTATCATTTTGGTTAATCTACGTAAACTTCAAATGGACACTTTTAGCAAGGATTTCTTCTGTAATAGATTTAAAGTTGGATGTACTGAAATTCATATTTTTGATAGGTGTTTTGACTTCCCCTAACATTTGTGTATTCTTAAATTGAATCAAATCTTTCTGTGCAATTGTACACATCACAGTCAATCATTATTAGGACAACTAGCATTCCTCAGATAAGTTCACTGGGAAGAACATATTCCTTTCTTGCTTCAATTTTTTAATTTACTATATATTCAGAATTTATTACAATACAGACATCTATAATGACATAAGAGCTGTGATAGAATCTATGCAGGAAAACAACCTGTAGGTTTTTACAGAGCTGCTTCTTCCTCATGAATAGAAAGCTGAGATGTATTTGGAAATGGTATAACTCAAATATTTAGTCTTCCTTCCATCAACTGGCCTTTATTTGGTCATTTTCTTTATGAGATGTATTTCAAACACTGACCAAATGGTAGATTTTTATTTATTAAAATAACCTCTTAATTCATATTTCATCCTAATTGCAAAATACTCTTTGCCACACATTTTTTCTCCTTGTCTTTGTCTGTTTTCTAAAACTGATGAGTACTATTTTTCAAAAACAAGTTATAATGAGAAAGGAATTATTTATTTTCTGAAACATAACATTGAAATTACCTGAAGTTCTGTCTCATTTTAATCAATTTGTATGTTTCTAAAAATCTTAAGTGAGAACTTCCATGTGAGATAAGAAATACCAAGAGAAACAGCAAGCATATTAAACAAAAATATACCTATATAACACTAGGAGGTGCACAGACCTGACACTTAATATTCCCCATTAATTCTGGTTACACTCCAGAGTGTTCAGCAGGCATCCCTCTGCCCTCTCCTCTTTAATCGGTCTTGTCATCAGATAAAGCAGCAGTAGAGTAAGGAAGATTCTATTACTTGTCCCATATAATTCTCATGAGACATAAGCAGAGACTAAGAATCATTTTATTTATAAATATGAATAAAGTAAGATTAAAATGTCATTTTACATTTGACTAGGTATCTAGACAAAGCAAGAAGTGGAGCAAGAATCACTAATGGAAAATCAGCAATTATCTCTGGCATACACAAAATGCTATTTAAGACAGAAAAAAAAATATCTATGCCTAATGACACCCAATTCCATCCTTCTTCATTCCTACTGGTGGGCATCCCAGGACTAGAAGATGTGCACATCTGGATTGGACTACCCTTTTTCTTTGTGTATCTTGTTGCACTCCTGGGAAATACTGCTGTCTTATTTGTGATCCAGACTGAGCACAGTCTTCATGAGCCCATGTACTACTTCTTGGCCATGTTGGATTCTGTTGACTTGGGCTTGTCTACAGCCACTATCCCTAAAATGCTGGGCATCTTCTGGTTCAATCTTGGGCAAATATCTTTTGGAGGCTGCCTTTCTCAGATGTTCTTCATCCACTTTTTCACTGTCATGGAGAGCATCCTGTTGGTGGCCATGGTCTTTGACCGCTACATTGCCATTTGCAAACCTCTTCGATGCACCATGATCCTCACCACCAAAATCATCAGCATCATCGCAGGCATTGCTATCTTGCGAAGCCTGTACATGGTGGTTCCACTGTTATTTCTCCTCCTGAGGCTGCCCTTCTGTGGGCACCATATCATCCCTCACACCTACTGTGAGCACATGGGTATTGCCCATCTGGCTTGTGCCAGCATCAAAGTCAACATCATGTTTGGTCTTAGCAACATCTGTCTCTTATTATTGGATGTGTTTTTTTTATTATTCTCTCCTATGCCAGGATTCTCTGTGCTGTCTTCTGCCTGCTTTCCTGGGAGGCTCGGTTCAAAGCTCTCAATACCTGTGGCTCCCACATTGGTGTTATCTTATCCTTTTTTACACCAGCATTTTTCTCTTTCTTGACACATCGTTTTGGCCATAATATCCCCCAGTATATTCACATTTTCTTGGCCAACCTCTACGTGGTTGTTCCACCAGCCCTCAATCCTGTAATCTATGGGGTCAGGACCAAGCAGATTCGGGAACTTGTGATGAGGATTTTTCTCAAGACAGATCACTAGCCAATTGGAGGTTGGAGGGTTTGTTTTAGAATTTGTTTCCTCTATTATTCAAAGTAGAGTTACTTTATATATAATCCAGTAGAAAGGAAGAAGAGGGAGGAGAATGTTGTAATTGACCATGTTATTTCACTGTGAATTGAAGCTTTTTCCTTTGAGAGTAATAGTGAGGATATTGGAATTTATATAAAATCTACTTTTACAAGTACTTTCATTAATATTTTTGCATCCTCAAGATATGCCTATAAATCATATACTATTTTCTACACTTTTCAATGAATATATTAGTGTTTTAGAAGCCAAGTAATTTATTCAAATTTTGTGTTTAGTAGGAAGTAGTAATTTAACTCAAGTAAGTTTCTCCAAGTTGTAATAATTTGTTTTATTCATTCCAGGGAGTCTCAGAATTTAAGACAATACAAAATGAAAGTACTAATTTCAGAGATATCATGAAAAGCTTAAGTGGCTTCCAGAATTCTTAAAATAATAATAGCTTACCCTAACATGGCATATCAATCTACTAATCTACTGTAAGTCTACAATGTAATATATATATATATATGTGTGTGTGTATATATATATATATATACACACACACATACACACACACATATACATACATCTCAAAGAGATTTATATTGCTACTATACACACATATACTCATTAACAATATTATGTTTAATTTACCCAAGCATAGAAAGAAGCAGATATAGTAATAAAATTAGAAAAGAGATTAGAAATTAAAGGGAAAAATGGAGTCTCAGCATTTCATGAAATATTCATTTATAAATAGTTTACTTACTTAAATAATATTCACATGTACTATATATATATATATATATATGTATATATGACAGTATCACTATATATGCATATATCTATACACACACAAACTTTTAACATGTTCTACATTGTCAGTTTTTGATCAATAGAAATATATATAGTCACATACTTTTGTCTAAGCACTTTGGGAAAGAAGAAATAATAAGCTAGTTCTACAATAGTGGAGATAAGCAAATATTTCTGAGGATTTGGAGGGCATGTGATTATCAGTAAATTAATTCATAAAGGACTCAGAAAGGTTTGGGAGAAAGAAGAATTTAGGAAGAAACTTTGAATGTGCGCCCTTTTTTTCTGGCTTGTCTGCCACGCACCCACTGAAGACAAAATTCAACAGCAAACCACATAGACATCTTGTTAAGGAAATGATAAGACAGATACCTAAAAATATCACATTGAAATTAGTTGTCTTGCCTCTTATTTAATCAATTATTTATTTATTTATTTATTGTTTTAAGATATTTAATTGAAAAATAAAATCATATATATTCAATTTGGGCAATGTCATGATTTGAGATATATATGCATTGTGTACTAATTACCATAACAAAATTAACATAGCTATCAATGCCCCCTTTCTGCACTGATTCAGAACTTGTTCACCTTATGACTTGAAGTTTTAGCCCTTTGACCAATGTCTTCCCATTGCCCCTCCTCTCAGCTACTGGTAACACTGTTCTACATTTTGTTTGTATCAGTTCAACTTTTTTAAGTTCCACATATAAATTAGATCATGGAGTATTATTTAACACACTGAAATTTGGGAAGAGGATAATGTGATCTCAGCACAATATAGCCTATCTTGATTTGAAGACAAGATCTATTCTTGAATTATAGGAGGGGGATATTATAAAGGTGTAGTAACTGGGACACTATATTTTTGGTGTAAATATAGAACACCAGTCAAATCAAACTAAATAGAGTCCAGAAACAGATACAAACATATGATTTTCCCTGAATTAAGGCTTTGATAATATTGCAGCACAATGAGAAAAGATGTTATTTTCAATGAAAGATACTGAGTCAAATGGAGACCCATATGAAAAAAATGAATCTAGATGGTTACCTTATGCTATACAAAATATGTTTCCAATTATAGAATTGTGGGTATACAGTTGAAAGCAAAAACAATACAGCTTCTGGGAAAAAAAGTATCTCCGTGACCTTGGAATAAGGATAGATTCTAAAACAGAACACAAGTACATGAGCATATACATGCTACATACATGCTAACAATATTGGAAACATATAAATTAGCCAATGAATACTAAAACTAAAAACTCTCAGCAAACAAACATTTACAAAGAAAACAGGCAAGTCAAAGGCTTGCATATGGAATATGAAGAGTACTCCTAAAAATCAGCAAATAAAGGGACCACAACCACATAGAAAAATGAGTGAAGAATATGCATGGGGATTTCTCCAAGGAGGACATCCAACTTTCTAGTGACTATAAAGAGAAGCTCTACTTCCTTAGTCATAAGGGAAGTACATTTAAAACCACTGAGCAGCTTCACTATCCACTGGCCAGGATGGCTAAAATGAAAAATATTGAATGGTAAGAAAGAATGTGAAGTAACCGGAATGCTTATATGTTGATATGAGAAAGTAAATTGGTAGAATCATTTTTGAAAATTAGCAGTATTTTCAAAAGCTAATCATATACACACCCTAGGACCTCCAAATTTCTTTCCTAGGAATATATCCATTGGGAGTTTTTCACATTTTTTCCTGGTAATATGTGCATCAATTATCACAGAAGCATGATATGAATCAATAATACTGCCCAAATATATATTGAATAGAATATATAAATACTAAGTACCAAAGGGAATGAGCAAACTGTAACAACAATAAACACATTGAATGGAATGGATCAGATAGAATAAGTTTTCTTATGTATATTATATAAATGTTGTTACATAGTATATACTACCACATTTATTTAAAGTTCAAGAAGAGGAGTGATAACAAAAGGGCTTAATTGTCAAATCAGGTTCATACAAGCTAGTACAAAAGTTTTCAGTGGTTTGACAAATAAGGAAAATCATAATGTTTTCTTTTTAATAATAAAATATTATTATTGTAAAAACCTTCAAACAACACAGAAGTTGAGAATAAATGAAAATTCCTCTTTTCCTGTGACCTCTGTCCAATTCTACCTCCTTCCCCAGATGTATTGTAATAAAAAATTTGGTATATATGTTCCATATATTTTTATTTTTTAAAATTTATACTATTGTGATGAAAATCTTTCATATGAGATATTATTGTACCAAGATTTTAGTGTACAAGACGTTGTCAATTATAGGCACAGTGTTATACAGCTGACTTCTAGAGCTTACATTTCTTCCAAAAGTGAAACTTCACCTGGAAGAGTAATTCCCCATGTCTCTCTAACCCCAGACCCAGGTAAGCCTTATTTCCCCCCTTTGATTGTACTAAATTGACTAGTCTAGATACTGCCCATAAATCCAATTGCATAGTATATGTGACTGGCTTATTTCATTTGGCACAATATCCTCAAGGTTCATTCTTCATGTCATACATTGCATAACTTCCCTCTTTTTTTGTTACTGAGGATTGAACTCAGGAGGACTTTATCACTTAGCTACATTCCTAGTCCTTTTTATTTTATTTTGAGATGGACTCTCACTAAGTTGCCCAGCCAGTTTTGAACTTGTGATCCTGCCTCAGCCTCCTAAGTAGTTGGGATTATAGGCCTTGCCACAACACCCAGCTAATTTCCCTCCCTTTGAAGACTGAATAGTATTCTATTTTGTGTGTAACCCAAATTTTCCTTATTTGTATTTCTTTTGGTGGACATTTAAGTTGTTTACATATCTTGGCTGTTGTGAATGGTGTTGCGATAAACATGGGAGTGTGAATATTTCCTTGAGATCTAATTTTAAGTCTTTAGGATAAACACTCAGAAGTGGAATGACTAGACCATATGCTAGTTCTATTTTTAATTCTTAGAAGTCTATCTTCCATGCTATTTTCTAGAGGCTGTACCATATTGCATTCCCACATTCTCACCTGCACATCTTTTTTTGTTTGTTTGTTTTAAATAATAGATTTCTTGATAGGTTTAAGGTGATATCTCACTGTACTTTTGATATACTTTTCCCTGATGATTAGTGATATTAAGTACCTTTTTCTAAATCTGTTCACACTTTTTTCATGAAGAAATATTTATTTAAGTCTTTAACACATTTTTAAATCAGGTTGGTTTTTTTGCTGTAGAGATGTGGGAGTCTTGTATATTTTGCAGACTAATTCTTTATCAGATATATATTTTATAAATATATTCTTCTACCTCAGAGGTCACCTTTTGTTTCATAGATTGTTAAAAGCAAAAGCTTTTTAGTTTGCTGTAATCCCACTTGTGTGTTTTTTTTTTTTTATTTTGGTGGTTTGTTCTTTCATTGTTATATTCAAAAATATCATTCCTATGAAGTTTCACCCTAAGTTTTCTTCTAGAAATTTTTAGTTTCAAAATTTACATTTAGGTTTCTGAACTATCTTTAATTTAATTTTATGGTATAAGATAAAATCTAGCTTTATTCTTTTGCACATAGATAACTAACCCAAGGCTTATGGATTTTATTTAACATGAGGCATGTTTTCAGGCATGAATGTATAGAAATTGATTGCACAAGGTGAGCTGTTTTGTTTATGGACTATCTCCATCTTATATCCCATTACTTATAATAGCAATTCTCCATCAAGCTAAGCTCTCATAAATCCATCAAATCTAAGTTTTCATGATAAGTAACCTGTCTGAACCATGAATACTATGATTATAATATTTATATTAGCTTTCTACTGGTAAGTAGAGTTAGTGAGCTCATTAGGATGATTGGTTACTAGTCTACAAGATGATTAACTGGGGTAGTTGCTATTTCTGGGTCTCCCAAGCAGAGAAAAATGGTTTCCTGACTGCTGTTGGTTCTTTGTTTCCTTGTAAGAAAACATCGTGTGGTGTTAAAAGTCAGGCTTGTGGCTATTGTGGGGGAGCAGTAGTAACTAGGGGCTAGTATGAGATGGCTTCTGAATTGCAAATAAATTTCATTTCTTGATCTGTTTGTTACTGATGCTTTGTGAAAATTTATCAACCCTACACTTAATATTTTTAAAAAATTAGTTATAGATGGATATAA